CATCGGTTGCAAGAGGGACATGAGTTCGATTGGGACAACGTTGCAATACTGGACGAGGAACCACACTACCGGAAGAGATTGACTTCGGAAATGATATTCATCAGGAAACAGACGCATGGACTTAACATGCAAACGGATATGGAGGGACTTCCCAAGGCCTACCTCCCGATTATTGATAGACTATAAAAGGTCGAAATTGTTGTCGCGCTTAGTCAGTCAGTGTCGCTCGTGCACAGGAAGTCGGTCGGGCGTTGACTTTAGATCATTTTCGGGGATACCTTTTCTTGATTTTGATTAAGTTTTTAACGCTAGTTTTCTAATTACTGTCTCAATAAAGACCAATTAAATCAATAAGAGACTAACTGTGTCTGACACTGACTGGCCAACTTATCAGAAACCGGTTTTTGAAGTATTAAGAGTAATGTTTGCGATGCGGTATCTTGTGATCAAGGTGAGCTTCCTAACCATCGGAATAATTAATTATAATTTCAAAATTTTTTGATACATTAGTTTTACATATTCTTTATTTCGAGAATTTCAAAATTCTTTCTTTCCCCCCTTTTTTCTTTTTTACTGCATTCTTATCTGGATTTAATTCTGGTATTTATACTCTCGAGGTGAGGAAGATCACCATGACTAGTTAATAATTGTTATATTCTATGTATGTGAATTTATTAGTTATCTCTGAAGAAGGCTCAAAAATGAGCCGAAACATGTAAAGCGCTTTAGTAAAATAAAGAAGTTTCACGCTACGATAGTCGTGCTATTTGCGCAACATCTCCCGCGCTTGACTCCTACTGCCCTTGTTCTTTCATTGTTTTTTGATTTATAAGGAGTCTTAGTTAGGTTGATTTATTATACGTTATTATTATCTAAATTTAGTAATTTGTACTTACAAACATACAAGTATCACATACATATGACACATAATGGAAATCGCCATGTTCTTGCAAATGCTCGAAGTTCGCGCATCTCTTACTTGAGAATCTCTAGGTAGCCCTTGGTCCTTAATGTTTGTATCCAAAGAAACGTGATTTCAGTAAAAACACATAATTAAGTCGCTTTTCCTCCTTAATTATAGATATTATATATGCAATGTCTTGTTCCGTGAAAGGTTTTGTGGCAATTATTATTTTCGGAAAACAAAATGCTTAATGGGAACAGCATAAAATATTTTTCGTTCCTGAAAGATTTTACGATCGCAGCTAAGTGGGTTGCAGCATGCGAAAAACAAAATGCGTTAACATAAAAAAAGTAGGATTTTCTATTTCTTATAAATGTATAAATGTCACGAAATAAACTATATATAATTTTGTTCGTATGTGTATTCTGCTATGTTCCCAACACTTCTATTGCTTGTCTATTACGATCTTTTACAAAACTCATTTCTTCAAAACGTTGTACAGTACGAATAACAGTTGATTTAGATATACCATTGTCTTCATTCCTAAAAGTTTGATTGAAAAGTTCTGTCACATGTGCGTAAGACCTCCTGCGATCACTCCATTCTCGTATCATTAAAAGGGATATACGCTCCTATTCAGTAAGCATTATAAAGTATTTTAAATAAATACTTTATAAACAAAGATAACTGTGGCGATAAGCAATTTCAGAATGGAGTACCACGAAAAAGTATACCTTCTCAATCGCAGGTCACAGAAAGAATGAACTTGACAGGAGAGATCTCTAGCTTATGTAGTCTCCAGCTTTGTTGAAAGGGTGGGAAGGAGGGAGAGGGAATGGAAAGAAAGGAGTAGGAGGGAAGGAGAAGGAAAGTGTAGGAGGGAGGAAGAGATAGAGATACAGGCATTCGCGGGCACATACATGACTCATAAATCCAATCAGGCAATCTCTACGTAATACCTTAGATAATGCTAATGCCGGCGGTTCCGTAACTTTCAACTATCATAACTTGAAAAGTACTAATTAAAAAGAAGTTTTATTATAGTGTTTTGGAAAGCTCCCGACCTCAGCTATTAGAGTCTAAAATCAAAAATAGGTTTCGTTTTAAAAAAATCGACTTGACCTTGGTGGTGCCATCCAAGATCAAATTGATAAGGTCAGTCAATAGATCATTTTCAACCCTACAACTTTTGTATAAAACATTTTTCTCAAAAATGATTACTTTTCAAGATATTTAAGGGGTCCAGGACTTTTTCTACACCTTGTATATATACTATGGACTACTGCATTCCACTTAACGCTCGCAAGCATCGTTTCTCCTTTAACATTTGATAAACGACAAGGATGAAATGATTCCACGAACGTTATGAGCGTTAAGTGGAATGCAGCCTATATAGCGCTTCATTAAATCGGGGGGTGTGACAGATTTCCTAATTTCAACAATCTTCAACTTTAAAGCTTAATATCTCGGTTCATGGAGCAGAGCGACACATTTTTTGCCAGATCCTTTCGTTTGATGCAAAAACGCGTTGAATAAGCTTAATTTCATTGATTTTTCAGGTGCGGAGGGGGAGTAAACTAAATAATTACCATAAGGGCTACGATTAATGATATATTTAAATATTAAACATTAAACATACGTTTCGACTTTCTGTCAGGCCATCCTCAGTGTTTACAAAATTTCAAAAAATTAGAAGCAGTAAATTAAGTTTCTGTAATGGTTGGATACACATAATTTTATTATAATTACGCTAATACTGATGGTGGTGATTCTTCGTTCTTACAGTAACAATATAGTTCCTACTCTCTTGTAATTAAAAAAACATTCCGTGTGTTAAGTTGTCGCAAATAGTAGTCCATGTTAAAAAATTGAAATAATTACACCGAGAGTATAAATACATATTCTGTTGATTAATGGATTATAAATTATAAAAATCAATCATGAATGAATGATCGTTATATTCACCGATTGTTCACAAACATTAATAATTAATTTTGTAAACATTAATAATTAATTGTATCAAATAAGCATATGGTCCTTGAAGTCAAATATAAAACGAGAATCCGTAACTAATTAAATTGAAAGTAACTAATTAGATTTATAACATCTACAATTAGACCACTAACTGTAATGTTATATATTTTCGAAATTAATATTTATTGATATTTTTATTGTTAAAATTTGTACAAAATAAATGTTCATAACACAACAATTGTGTCTTAACTACGTAAAAAATACATCTGTTTATTTTTAACACATACTTTCTTTAAGAACACTTTTCTACAGTTCTGCGATTTCTCCATGCTCTCATATATGTTCTTGGATGAACAGGTAAAAATCCAGCGAGTCCTAATAAATCTGCAACAGGTGTGGACACTTGTGCCCCTTTGGCAATCCAATGTTGTATTCTTTCAAAATTGAAGGACACTAATTTTTCATTATGCATATTTGGAATAGGATCATATACACCAACTTGTTCTATCGGTGGTTTTCTTTCTCCCTTTTTTACCTATAACAAAAATTAATTTATTGATTCTGGCTATAGAAAAATTTATCTCTTTCTAGTTAAGATTTTTATACTTGAGCCGATTCTATGATGAGTCGGTAGTCGGTAATTAAAAGTCTTAAGTCTTAAATAAGTGTCTTAAGTAAGTAATACGACTTTTCACAGCTGCAATGAGTCATTTAGCTCTATTAACGGAAAGGAATAAAGTTGAATTTGACCTCTCTTGAGAAAATCGGTAGTCGTAGGACCTCGGCACAAAGATGGTTGTAACGAATCATGAAACTCGAGTCGTAGTTAACGTACAATGTTTTGATCAACCTGTAACTATATATAATTTATGTTTTCATGCCTCAGTTAGGAACATCTTTGTGCTTAAGGGGGGACCCTGTCCCTGAGGTTTCAAAAAATCGAAATTTTTTTTATTGCTTTAATCATTAGTTTGAACCCTTAAAAATACAAGAAAAATAATTCGGAAGCGAAATTCAAAGTCAAAGTGATCGAGAAAATGAATTTCAACAGCGGCAAGTCAGAGCGACTTCGCCTTTTTTATAATCCGACCTGGCCCTGCAGGTACACAGAACTATGTACCCATCAAAATATGAGTATTCCGGATGCCGTCTATAGATGTCACAACTTGTGATCAATGTCACAACTAAATCCAATTTAAGCAATTTCAGTGTCGGTTTCAGTGTGACAGTGACGCCATTAGTAAACATCAAGAAAACGCACGGTTCACTTTTCTTAAAACTGCATTTTTCATAACGGTATACATAATTCAAAAAGTTTTCATCCGATTGACTTCAAATTTTAACTGAATATTTTTAGCAACATTCTCTATCGGCTGACGTAGGATTTTTGCAAAATATGTACTTTTTTTTTAATCGACAATTGATTTTTTTTTTTCGAAAAAATTACAATCTTTTCAAACCATCCTTAAAAAAAAAAATCAATATTTTAAAAAATCCCTACATCAGCCGATAACCATAACAGTGTAAATGATGCCGCTTTTTTTTTACTTCGCATAGGTTGCATCATTACCAAAATTGTGTACATGCACCGGCAGGAATGATAACCCTTGGCGTTCGGCGCGCAACACTATACTCGTACCGAAGTGCACGTACGTGTTATTGGTAGCGCGGAGGAGGCGAGGAGCGCGAAGGGAAAAAGTAGTGGAGGACGCTCCGATATTCTGTCCTTAGCGCAAGGCGCACGATTGAGACAAAAAGCGTAATTGAACGTGATGCCGGCTCGCGGTGTCCTTTCGCTGTCTCACACATTTGTTACTAGCACGAGAGAGATACACCGGTGTCCCTCGCTCGCCG